TGGCTCGCGCGCGTGCATGTAGTCCTGAGCTGCTGATCGAGGTACTCTTGGGCTGACTCAGGCGTCTGCAGCATGTACGAATCCAGCTCGGCGTCGAGCACGTCCTTCGAAGCGGGCTTCGCCGCCGCCGCCCTGCCGCCTCTCGCTCCGCCTCGGCCGGCGCCGCCGCCACGCACCGCTGCTCCGCCTCGTCCGCCTCGCGCGCCGACGGCCGTCACCGGCGCTCTGCGCTGGTTGTTACCCGGCGCTGCCACGCCGGCGCCGCCGCGACTGGCACGGCCTCCGCGAGCGTTGACGATTCTCTGACTGTTGCTGTTGTTGTTGCCCCTCGTCGCGGGCGGCAGGGCTGCGACGACGCGACCGCCTCGAGTGACGGTGGATCGGCCACCGCGAGGAGCGGATCTCGTTGTGACGGTTTGCTGCTGGTGCTGCACCATTACGGCGCGCTGCTGTCTGGATGAAGGCTGCGGGGGCGGGATGCCCTTGATGACGAAGGCGGGCTCGCGCGGCTGATCGAATTCGAATTGCCTGCCACGGCGATCACCTACGCTTACGCGCGCGCGGCAACTGTTGTCGTTGTCATCATCGAATGAAGGAGTCCAGGTGGTCGATATCGACCGCCTCGCCGCTACAGCAATTTCGCGCTGAGTGCTCTGGCGCTGCTCCGTCGCCTGCCGTCTAGACCTAATCCCCGCCTCCTGGAACAGATTCAAATCTGCCACCTCTGCCCTCTTGGGCTCGACCTTGGGCAATTGCGAGAATCGTTCATGCAGCGTAACGACGCGGGGGGCAGTCGCCGTCACCGTCGCAGATAGTGAAGACGGCGAAGGCTTCACCTCGACACGCCTCGCCGAGATCGTCCGCTCCACGTTCATCCTTTACGTCCTCTAATTCGATAATGCAGATGATTTGTTCGCCACGAAAAGGTGAAAATATCCCTGAACGGAAATGCAGAGAGAAAGCCCCAAAGTTGAGAAAGAAAAAAGGAAGGAAAGTCGAAATCTGCGCCGGCAAATCGAGTCCATTCAATCTCTCTAATTTCTCGGCTCGAAAGCGGCGATCCTACGGGTGACGAAGAGAAGAAGATGAGGCTCGACGTGAATGTGCTTCGGTATATGACGAAGGAGGAGTTTCGCGTCCTGACGGCGATCGAATTGGGACAGAAGAATCACGAGCTCGTCCCGACGCCGCTCATCAATTCCATCGCGAAATTGAAGAGGGGAGGGACCTACAAGTACATCTCCATGCTGCACAAGAACAAGCTCATCGCGCACGAGGCCAAGAAGTACGATGGCTACAAGCTCACCTACACGGGGTATGACTACCTGGCCCTCAAGGCGCTGCGCGATCGCGGCGTCGTATCGGCAGTCGGCACCAAGGTCGGCGTGGGCAAGGAGTCGGACATCTACCTCACCACCAACGATGAGCAAGAAGACCTCATTCTCAAGCTGCACCGATTGGGCCGCATCTCCTTCCGGCAGATCAAGAACAAGCGCGATTACATGCAACACCGAAAGCACGCGTCCTGGCTCTACATGGCGCGCCTTTCTGCGCTCAAGGAGTTTGCCTACATGAAGGTTCGTCGCCTGCCTCCTTCAACGACACCCTCAACACCTTCTCTCTGCTCACGCTCGATTCCCCTTTGCATTGTAGGTGCTCTACGACAATGGTTTCCCCGTGCCCAAGCCTGTTGACGCGAATCGCCACTGTGTGGTCATGCAGCTCATCAAGGGCTTTCCACTGTACGTAACTGCATACATCTGCACGTCGTGTGCCACGTTGCACAGAGTTGGTCTGAACTGAAGCGTCTTCTTTGGCACCCGATACGTACGACAGCTGCCAAGTCAGCGAGATCCAGCATCCGGGTCGAGTCTACAACAAGCTGATGAAGCTCATCGTCAAGCTCGCCAGATATGGCCTCATCCACGGCGACTTCAACGAGTTCAACCTCATGATCACCCACGAGGAAGAGGTGGTGCTCATCGATTTCCCGCAGATGGTCTCCACCAGCCACCCGAACGCCGAAGAGTGCGTTCACCCACGCGACGATCTCTCGTCTAATGCCAACCATTGTGAGCTGTGCTGTCCAGTTGTGGCTTACCGCTCTGTGTGCGCCCTCGCAGGTACTTCGACCGCGATGTGCAGTGCGTGCGCACTTTCTTCGGCAAGCGTTTCGGGTACGAGGAGAG